CACGCAGTGGGGGCCTGCAGGACGGCCCCTCACAGAGATGCTCCTCAGTTCGGAGAGCACGGTGGGGCCTAGAGACCTGGACGGAGGTCTCAGGGATCCGCTGACAGCCAGGCAGAACCTCCCTAGGTGCCTCCTGAAGGGCTCCCAGGTCTATGTCTCCAGACAGAATGCTCTGTCATGCTCTTCCAGAGCTCAGCAGAGAGCCCTCCCCTAGAGGCCAGAGGGGATGGCCACACCGCAATCCCTTCTCCTCCATTCTCCTCTTGGGATCTTGGGCACGCACGCACACATGCCCGGCATGAGTTTAAGCCACTGGGTCCAGAACGTGAACCGCGGTCGACTACATGGGAGTTCAACGACATAGCCATTATGCCAACTGCTGGTCCTGACAAGGTTGCATTTTAACCTGGGCTTCCGTATGTGCACAGGAGGCTTTTCAAATCTTCCCACTGCAGACAGGAGCTTAAGCGTGGCAGGGAGGTGGGGCAGGAAGCCTGCAACAGCTCCAGCGAGAGACCTGCTTTGGCTTGACGTTGCATGCAGTCTTAGCGGCTCTGGGTACCATTATGGAAGACACGCAGTGGGGGCCTGCAGGACGGCCCCTCACAGAGATGCTCCTCAGTTCGGAGAGCACGGTGGGGCCTAGAGACCTGGACGGAGGTCTCAGGGATCCGCTGACAGCCAGGCAGAACCTCCCTAGGTGCCTCCTGAAGGGCTCCCAGGTCTATGTCTCCAGACAGAATGCTCTGTCATGCTCTTCCAGAGCTCAGCAGAGAGCCCTCTCCTAGAGGAGCCCCTGCCACACTCTGGCCACACTCACCTCTCCGCCCGAGTCCCACCACTGACCACGTCTGGGCTAGACACCCCAGGCACCTGCCACTGCCTTCCCGTCTCCTATCACTTGCAAACAGCAACCTCTGCAGCAGGCAGTTGCCAAGGTCACTCCTTGCTCCCATGTACCCCGAAATCCAGTTCACAGCCACCCTTAGCTGTGCAGGGCTCTGAGCAGATACTAGGCCATCGACACAGCCGCGACACCTTTCCCATAGAAAAACGTAGAACGATATGTCATGACTTTCCCAATGCCCAAGATCACGGTGCGGCCCACGCATGCACAAACACTTGACTTTAACATGGGATATAAAACTCCCGGCCCCTGTGAGGCCCTGCGATTGAGGAATCAATGAAGGTTTAGAAAAACGAGGCGAGAAGGTGCACTGAGGTATCTGTTTACCATTCATTCGGGGGCAGGAGGTTGTCTGCAGGGTCTGAGAACTGCCTTCCCTGTCCGGGTCCAGGGAGCAGCTGTGCTGTTCTTCATTGTCGAGCATGCTGTTCCCAGCTGTGTTCATGTCCTGCCCTGGGACGAGGCAGCCACGCTGTTACTATTCACGGCGCGTGGGTCTTAGGGACCTGTCACGTTGAGGTAGTAGGGAGACCCCAGCACCGGGAGTGGGAGGAGCAGAGGCCCGAGGGCCAGGGCAGAGTGGGAGGGGGCTTTGTAGCTGCTGCAGAGGAGGCAGTCAGGATAGCGCGGGGATTGGCTTCCACGCTCTCAAGCAGCTCCCGGAAGACGAGACCTCCTGGGCTGCCGTCCCAACACCCTTCTGTGGCCTGGGCATGAATTCCACCACCAGACACCGTGCCTCTTCTCTTCCTTTGCCCTCAGCTCACAAAGGACACAGTCCCGATGAAGTGTTTTCTGCCGTCCTAAGAAACGGAGACCCGGGATCGAGGAGGGAAAGGCGATCGGATCTGCTTTAGGTCCAGGGTCTCGCTGTTATCTCCGCAGCCTGGGTGGGGCCGTATTTTACAAAGGAGGAAACTGAGGCTCTGAGCCTTGCAGCCCACAGGCATTCTGAGAAGCAGCTGCAGAGGCGGGCCCCAGCCTGGGCTCTTCCTGCAGTGGCACCATGAAGCGCCAAGACGTTTGCACACAAGCCCGCCCTTCCCGAGGGGACAGAAAGAATGTCCCTAGTCCTGGCTGAGACAGGCCTCAGCGCCAGGGAGAGCAGGACAGCTTCCTGGTCCTCCGGCTTCCCTGACTGTCCCACCTGGCCTGAGGGCCATCTCAGTCTGAACTCAGCCCAGGGCCACCTGGCAGTCAGCTCCCTCCCCTCCCAGGATAAGCCTTCACCCCCAGCTCCCAGGAGAGGGTGGGAAAGGCCAGAGCATGTGGCCCTCCAGCACAAAGGATGCTGAGGGCAGGAACTCACCGTCTGGGGCCACAGCGTCCACCCAGTGTCCCCTCCCTGCGGTGCGACCTGAGACTGGAGGGGAGGGAGGGGCTGGCTCCCATGCACACACCTCTTTGGTACCCACAGAATTAGGACCTGATTTTAAACTGGGGGTGAGGGTCTGTCCCTTCAAGGAGGATGCTCTGGAAGGCTCTAGAAGGCTCTAGAATCCCCTCAGGTGAGTCCAGATCCTGCTCTGCTGTGCCCTGGCTGTTTGACCTTGGCTGAATTAGTTTCTCCAGGCCCCAGTCCCTCCCCGAGCAGGTGGGAATAGCCAGCTCACAGGGCAGTCTGTCCAGGGCCAGGCGCAGGGACGGGCACCCAGTGCAGGGCTCAGCACAGCGTCTGCTTCTGGCTGGGAAGGCGTCTCACAGGAAGGCGTCATCCAGAGCTAGCCCGAGCGGGCTCACAGAGGGGCCTGGCTATTTCTGTCATCAGCCGCATCCTCCTTTCCTGCCCCTGCTCATTCTGGCAGGGACCGAGGGCCCTGAGGGCCTGAGGAGCCACAGCTCTGTGTCAGTATTCCAAGTGCAAAACCCACCATTGTTCGCAGCAGCCACCTCCCCAGCCATGCAGGAGGGAGGCTGTGGAATTCGTCAGCACCAATTAACACGCCAGGCTCCCTCCTGCAGCTCCTGGTCTGCCTCCCTGCTGGCTGCGGCAGAGGAAGCAGCCAGGCCCAGGAGAAGGAAAACTGGAACACAGAGTGGGCTGGGGTGCCCCGTGGGGCCAGGCCAGTGTTACCCTGAAGGAGTGAGGCAGGCCGGGAGCATGATAGAACAGGGATGGAGACTGAGAGACCGAGACCTCCGCGGGCATCCGACACCCAGAGGGGCTCAGCTCCCCCACCCCACACAGCGAGCTTACAGTCAGTCATATGGTGCAACAAAATTAGTACAGGCCAGTAGATGGCGTAGTGGTCAAGGTGGCTGAATCCCACAGGGCCGACTGTGGTTCCAGTCCTGGACCTGGCAGCTTGACAGACACGCCAGGCGCGTGTGTGCATGCCCAAAGTCCTAGAGGAGAACAGAGGAGGAGGGATTGTGGCCAGGACATCCCCCTAAGGGATCCCTTCTCACTTTTCGTCTCTCTGTCTTTGGTGAGTGTAGACTCCAAATAGCAAAACATTAAAAGAAAGAAAGAAAGAAAGAAAGAAAGAAAGAAAGAAAGAAAGAGAGAGAGAGAGAGAGAGAGAGAGAGAGAGAGAGAGAGAAAGAAAGAAAGAAAGAGAGAAAGAAAGAAAGAAAGAGAAAGAAAGAGAGAAAGAGAGAAAGAAAGAAAAAAATAATACAAATGTCTGGATTAAAAAAATGCAGACAGTGAACAAGTTGTTTTGTTGAACTTTATGTAAATACACACCAGGCCTTCAAAAAGTTTATAGAAAATGTCTATTATGAAAAAACTATGCATGGATCACAAAAATGTTTTTTTGCTCCAAAATAAACTCATATTTTAAAAAGGATTATTTTAACTATATTACTTTCCAGTTTGATTAGAGAGAGACAGAGAGAGAGGGAAAGTGAGAAAGCAAGCAACCAGATCCGGGACTTGAACTGCGGTTGGCCATTTGGGTGTCCAGCGCCTTTAACCACCATGCCACCTGCAGCCCCCAAAGTAAACTCATATTTTAATTGTATTTTCCACAAATGGTTTGAAGTCCCCTCAAATACTCATGCCAATAAGAAATTTAAAAATAAAAGTATAGAACGGGACCACCAATTAGCGTAATGGCTATGTTGTTGGACTCCCATGTAGTCGACCGCGGTTCGAGTCCTGGACCCAGTGACTTGAACTCACGTCAGGCGCGTGTGCATGTGTGCCCAAGATCCCGGGAGGAGAATGGAGGAGAAGGGATTGCGGCGTGACCATCCCCCCTATGGGGTGATTTCTCGCTTTCTGTCTCTATGTCTCTCTCTGTCTGTCTGGCGAGTGCACGTGTCCTATAGCAAAAACCTCTCAATAAATAAATAAATAAATAAAAGTACAGAAAAGGAACGTAGTAATGGGTTAACACTTTTTCATTGTATTAATGTGTTTTTGAAAACAGGAAAAGAACCTTACGTCTGCATATTAGTCTGTTATGGCAAAAGTGACAAACAGCTTCTGCGAGCCTGCGAATGGCAACAGCAGAACTGATCTTCTCAAATTCATGTTCCATCCGGTAACGCCGGATGCCCGTCGACCCTTGCTCACAGTTGATTAAAGAACATGTTAAAAATTGATTTTAATTTTGAAAAGTTCTTTCACATGAAGCAACAGATATGAAAGGGAGTGTGAAATAACCTTAACTAAAAGGATGCTTGGTAAATAGTCTAAAAACTCAATTTCACAAACATTTCAGAATTTGCGACGTTGTTTGTATGTTCATTTCTTCAGGATTGGCCATAGTGGTTTTCAAATGTTTCTGTACTCGAAATTTTCCAGTAAAATCATTTCAACAGAAAAAAATTTTCACTCTATTCTTTCTGAAGTTTTTCTTCCGCAAAAATCAGAAATGGCCTAAAAGATGGGGAATATCGATATGATCTGAATCGCTGCCTTAGAAGACGTGGCCAAGTTAAATAACTCGAGTTCTAAGTATTTCCTTATTTATACAGTGACTCTAAAGCTGTCTCACTGACCATTTTACATCGAAAACAAAAATCAGGCCAGTAGACAACTCGGAAGGTTTCAGTGCTGTGAAAGGAAGCTTTAAACAATCTCACCGCAGCTGAATCTAGGTGCATCGGGACCCACTGTATAACTGAGAAGTTCCAGGTTGACTCAGATGTTGAAAAACATGTTTAATAAATAGTTCTATAAAGTACTAATTTGCAGCATCTCTCGCCACCACACACACTCACTCAATTATAAATACAGCAATGATTTCGAATCTAATCATCTGTTTGTCATGAATATTGGCCTACGGTTTTCTTTTCTTGTGATGTCTTTAGACTTCACATCAGGGTAATCCTGGCCTCGTAGAATGAATTAGAACATTTCTTCATTTATTTTTGTGTAAGAATTTGAGAAAGATTGGCACCGATTCTTTTTTAAATGGAATCACCAATGAATTCACCTCATCTTGGGCTTTTCTTTGTTGGGACATTTTTGATCCTTTATTGAATCATTTCGCTTCTTTAGGTCTGTTGAGATTTTCTATTTCTTCCTGGGTCAATTTTGGTAGTGTATGTCTTTTTAGGCATTTGTAGATTTCACTTCCATTATCTATGAATAGTTTCTTGGCTTATAATCTTTTATTTTTGTAAAGTCAGTAGAAATGGCCCCAATTTCATTTCTGAGCTTAAAGTTGAATTCTGTTTCCCTTTTTCATAGTCAATCCAGTTAAAGGTGTGTCAATTTCATTGATATTTTCAAAGAATCACCTCTCGGTTTCATTGATTTTTTTTTTCTGTTGTTTTTCTATTCTTTATTTTGTTCACCTGCACTCTAATCTTTAGTATTTTATTTCTTCTGTTTGCTTTGGGTTTTGTTTGTTCTTCTTTTTCCAGTTTCTTAAAGTGCAAAGTTGGTTTATCGATTTGAGATCTTTTATAACATAAGCATTTAGAGCTTAAATTTCTCTCTAGGCATGGCTTTGATTCAATCCTGGGAGTTTTAGTTTGCTGTTTTTGCTTTCATCGTCTCAAAAGTATTTTCTCATTTTCTTATTTCCCTGCGATTTCTTCTTCGTGCAATGCATTGGCTGATCAAGAGTGTCATGTTCAATTTCCATGTACTTGTGAATTTTCATTTTCTTTCTGTGGTTTCTAGTTTTATTCCGCTGTGGTCAGAGAAGATACTTCGGGTGATTTAAAGTTTAGAAACTTATTGAGACTTGTTTGGTGACTTAACATGTAGTCTATCCTGGAGCACGGTCCCTGTGGGCTTGAGAAGAGTGCGATTCTATTTGGGACCCCTATTCCAGCAAGAATGTGAAGACACAGGCCCTGTACTCAGGAAACCTCTGATTTAAGGGGGGACTCAGGACGTACCCTAGAGAGAGGCTCCCGGCTCAAGGGGGAGTTATAACCCTGACCAGGAGCTTCCAGTCCCAAGAGAGGGGTAGGACTCCACAGTCCACCTGGGGTCTATCGTGCCAAGCCCACCTCTGAGCAGCGACCTGAGGATCGGTCAGCTGACAGGGTCATGGGGGGGCAGCTAGAGGGACAGACAGACCACTTACAGCTCTCTCCTGGCCCTGGGATTCCACTACCAGGGGGTGGGAGTTGGGAGCACCAGCTGGCCTGCCTGTAGGGTAGAGAGGGGACAGGCTGCTGGGGACCAAGGCCTCACAGCTCTCCCTCTACTCTCCCACATTCACACACGTGCACGCACAGGCACACACATGCACACACTCACTCTCGCGTTCATGCTCTCGGGGACACGTTTCCTAAACCCACACCCCACCCCCTACCACACAAGGCCCACCCCACACTAGGGGGTAGCCCGCTCACTCACACAGGCCCTGCGTCCACCTGCACACCGGTCACCCTCCGTCTTGCACAATAAGCTACCACAGCACCACAGGCCCGAGGCACGCGTGCATGTGTGTTCCTGTGTGCACCTGCTGTATCCGGATAGCTGTGCGTTTTCCACTCTCCCACCCAGCCATCTGCCTCCCTCCCCGCCTGAAGGCTGCGGGAGGATGGGCAGGCCTGGTCTCCGTGACAACCGGGGACCCTCTACCTGTCCTCTGGCAGCAATCAGCAAGCAGGGAGACGTCTGGGAGGCCGCCGGCTTTGTCCAGGCCCCGTGCTCTGAGTGGGGCAGGGTGAGGGCAGAGGGAGGGTGGGGGAGGACTGGGTGGCCATCTGGACCTGGGAGAGCGGAGCTGCAGGCTCTGCCCAAGTGCTCCAACACGGCAGATGGGCACCCGACGCCGTTGCCGAGCTGAGGGGAGGAGGGGCAGCCCGCGCAGCACAGGCAGGAGCTCCCCCAGCTCCCCGCCCGCCTCCCTGAGCACGGATTATGGAGAAAGCCCGGTCTAAGCGCCCAGTCCCGGGACTGGCCGGTGAGAGGCGCAGCTGTGCTGGCAGGGGGGGGGGA